TGGAGAATCGCCTGTACTGGTCTCGGGACACTATTGCAGCCACTACGGCAGTTGAGTTAATATACATGCTATCTTCCTAATTTAAAAAATAAATTAATTCATAATACCCGCTGAAATGGGTTGGGTTTTATGACGTTTGATCCAGAAAGGCGTGTTAGGGGTGGGGTCTGGGGCAGCGCTGTGGGGCTACTGGCCCGGCAGTGGAAACGCAAGCCCGGTGCTTGAGGCCCGAGGCCACTAGCTCGGCCCGGCTCGCTGTTAGCTCTGGCCCAGCCCTAGCCCGGCAGTGGAAACGCGGCCGCGTTTCCACTGCCGGGCCAGGGCCGGGCCGTGCTAGTGCGTGCCAGGGCCAGTCGCGTTTCCACTGTCACTTCCGGGGCTTGATCGGGGCTTCCTCAGGGCCAACGGCCAGGATTTCTGGCCCGTCGAATACCTTGGGCCAGAGGGGGCCAGCTCGGGCTAGAGGCGTGCTCAAGGTAAAAGGCGGAGTTTATCGGTGTTATGGAACGTTATGATCTGAAGCAAGATGCACATAGGGGTGTCCATGTTTAACCGATTGACCGTTTAAAATTGCATAACATTTTAATTTGAACTGTAGGCCTACAATATATAGGCTATATATAGCTACATATCGACGAATTTTCAGATATTTGTTTGATTTTTTTGCCCCTTAAACATTTAAAATATTTGACAAATTAATATGAAAAAAATATATATTTTACTGGTTTTCTGAGGCCAAATTAGAACCTGGAAATGATATTTTCCCTGCAGTGATTTATAGGCTATAATAAATGTGTCTGATAATAAAATAATATAAAATAACGAGGCATTAATTGTTTATTAATAAACTATTGTTTTCTAAATGATTTTCGGCTAAAAACATATCTCCATCTCCGGATGCACATTTAGAGAGAAATTAAGCTACATAAACATAGAAGATATTGGCTTTCGATTCGAATTTGTTCGTTTTAAATTGGACATTTAAAGCTTTAAATGTCCAATATAAAACGAACAAATTCGAATGCGGTGGCTGTTTCAGGTCTCGCGCTTCAGTTCACGGAGATCATGAAGCGCGCCTTGATTAATTGTTAAAGCACAACGTTTTCTTGTTATAAATAAATTTATTTGCGAATAATGTATTATTATTTTCTGTATGACCAGAAATTAAAGAGTATTTTAAGTTGTTTCCACTGAAAGAAATGCAATGAAACTGTTCACATGGGCGTCTCGCAGCCATCAGTGCATGCTCCACACACACTGGATATGCGCTGATATTTGTCAAAAATATTGTGTTTATTTGTGCTCTGTTCCTTTTTTGGATAAAGGCGTCTTCTACATATGCAGCCTAATAAAATGTTACAATAATGATGATGATGGTTATTATTATTATTATTATTTGCAGACACGGAGTTTTTGTGAAATGGACGTTTATTTGCTTATTTTCAATTGGCAATTTCAGTTTGAAGGGTGATGGAAATGTGGCTTTAACTGCTCCGTACTTGCCGCGTTTTATTTCTATAAATAAATTTCGTTTCAAATGGGGTCCAATCAGTTATTAAAGGTGTTAAAAATTTTTACTCTGTATCTCGAGGTTGCGGCGCGCACACTATGCACCGAGTATTAACCGATGGGCCTCGGTTAACGATTAATGAATAACTTGAAAACGTGCCCGCAGCCCTAGGCTACTTGTTATATCGCACAAAAAATCGCTGCTTGAAATGGAGAATCGCCTGTACTGGTCTCGGGACACTATTGCAGCCACTACGGCAGGTGAGTTAATATACATGCTATCTTCCTAATTTAAAAAATAAATTAATTCATAATACCCGCTGAAATGGGTTGGGTTTTATGACGTTTGATCCAGAAAGGCGTGTTAGGGGTGGGGTCTGGGGCAGCGCTGTGGGGCTACTGGCCCGGCAGTGGAAACGCAAGCCCGGTGCTTGAGGCCCGAGGCCACTAGCTCGGCCCGGCTCGCTGTTAGCTCTGGCCCAGCCCTAGCCCGGCAGTGGAAACGCGGCTACTGTTCACAGGGGGCCCTATTTCTACGCATATAATTGGCTCTTTTGCCCCCCCTTGAAGCGGCAACTGTTTTGAAGAATATGATTGGCTCTTTTGCCCCGCTGTTGTTAGGACATTGTTTGGATTCTGTTAGGACTGTTAGGAACTGTTAGGACTTTGTTTGGTCTTGTTAGGTCCTGTTAGGAGTTGTTAGGAAATAGTTTGGACTTGTTAGGACTTCTTAGAGCAGTCCATTTACTGGAGGGTACGGCCACCTCGTCGCTCGCCCTGTCACGTTTGCCCGAAGCTGGGCTGTGTTTTTTTTCTGCAGCTATTTTAAAGGTGATGTCGTTAATGTTGGCAGCAAGGTACTTTGAATGGCTTTGCCAGGCGCACTTGTTTCTCTCGAAATACATCAAACGACGAGGATGGGATTCGAACCCACAGCACAATGGATTAGCAGTGCATCACCTTAACCACTCGGCCACCTCGTCACTCAACCACACATGTTTGCCCGAAGCTGGGCAGTGGTGTGTTTCGGCAGCTATTTTAAGGATGATGTTGTTAAAGTTGGCAGCAAGGTTCTTTGAATGGCTTTGCCAGGCGCACTTTGCTCTCTCGACACATTCAGCTAAAGCTCGCCTTAAGGGGCACCTGTGCGGTTGACGTGTTCACTACATTTTCTCTCTGTTTCTGCAGCTATATTAAGGATGATGTCGCTAAATTTGGCAGGTCGGGTACATTGAACGGCTTTGCCAGGCGCACCTGGCTCTCTGAAAACACTAAAGACATCAAACGACGAGGATGGTATTCAAACCCACGTGTGCAGAACACAATTGTAGAGAATTGAGGCAAATCAAACACAACTTAATCAAATTAATCTCTCATGGGATTAATTAACATTGATTGAACACTCCAAAGGTTCTGAAACCCCACTATTTCAACCCATTGGAACATCCCCCAGCTCCCTTATGCTACGTTCACACCGGACGCGAATAGGGCGTCAGGCGCGAATGATTTCAATGTTAAGTCAATGCAAAGACGCTTTACGCGCGTGAAAAATTCCTGCGGCACGAATGAGGCGTGGAGCGCGGCGCGGAAGACGCGAATACGCCTTATTCGCGCGTCAAGTTGGCGCGAATGGCGCGAATTGAGCGTTGTGCATTCACGCGTTTGACGCGAATTCGCGTCTGCCGCCCGAGTTGAAAAATCTGAACTTTGGCGTGAATTCGCGCCGCGTTAACCAATCAGGAGCCTAGCTGCTTGCTCACGTGGTGAAGTGTCTGGATCCTTCAATAAATTATTTTGGTAATATGACTAAATGCATGGTGGGATTATGCACAACAAAGCAAATGTTTCATCACTTAAAACATTATTTCTATATAGGAGACATGTTCATTTTGTATTGAATGTTATTCATTCCATATCTAGAAATAGTATTATGTTGTAAAGACATCAACATATGTGCATAAATTCGTGTCTGGACGTGAGAGAGAGAAAAAAATCACAGGACAGGTTAATAACTTTTGAAGGCTGGCTCTATTTATTTTTAAAACAAAAATAAATGACAGCTAGATTAGATGGATGAGGGCGAGGGTGATCCTCGCTCAGATGCGGGACAACAGGTCATCAAACTGGGCGCGTGACAGGCGGAAGTACCGCTGACAGCGGCCGTCATCCAGCGCAGCTCCTGGAGCGAGCAAATGGTGAAACTCGCCAAACGGTTCGGCTCTGAAGGGTCCGGTGGACACAAATATACGGCGACGATGATCCCCACGCCGCTGTTCTGCTCTCCAGAGTAAATACAGAGCGGTAAATCTCTTGATGAATGCTCGGTCGACATAAAAACAATGGCCGCCAACGGATTTTGATTCTGACGCGCGTCACGCGCGTAAATTTCGCTTCAAACTTTACGCGCGCCAGTTTCGCTCTTGACACGTGAATTAACACTAGTGGTCAAGCGTCAAACTAGACGCGTCAGGCGCGAATTTGACGCGCGATTCGCGTCCAGTGTGAACGTAGCATTACGCGAAACCAGGAAGTTGAAGCGGGGTTCGGGATGCCGGTGGGTTAACTGTATACCATGTTGAAAATTACAACGTTTTAACTAAATAAATGTAAAGTTTGACCGCCCATGTGGATATTTTCATTACTTGCTGCTAGAGATTATACAGATGGTGATGAAATTACAATGTACAGTTGGCGTAATATATGTTTGGATTCATGCACAAATATTTGCTACTTAAGAATGGTGGTAAGCCTTTCCCTGCACCTTAAACAACATTACATGCTAGCTGGCATTTATGATACACGGTGGTAAATGGCATTGTGAGTAGTGAATCAGAACTAGAACAGAACAAACAGAAATAACAGTGATATGACCCAGAGAATAGTGGCAGAACAGCTTGACTATTAGCACCGGCGTTTGGCTGACTGCATGCTGCGTGAGCATATCACGGCTCAGTCCGTGACAGGGATGGTATCGGGACTCTACGAGCAAGACTTGGGAACCTTACTGGATTAATCTCGGGGTCAAAGCCTGCACCATATCTCCTCCACTGTGACTGCAAGACAGCATGTAGAGGGCACTGCAAGTGCTGTAAAGCCGGAGTTCGTTGCACTTCTATATGTGCATGTGAGGGTGTTGTACAAACAATTATGGTGGAGACAATGAGAGATCCGGTGATTATAATGATAATTCATGTGAGAGACCATGAGAATTCACTGTTGTTTTTTCATGTTGTTGCTGTTTTTTTCTTATGCTTAGCAAACCTTTAAGAGTTTGACAAATTGACTATATTATTCTTTTAACAATTTGACAATATAAATATTTCCTTGCAATAATAATGTGTCTTATTCTTTCTTGTATGATTACACTTTGAAATGTATTCACCTGTGGTACACTGAAAAGCATTTCACTTTTATAAGGAAATTAATAAACATTGAAAATAATGTAATGGGACAAGGTTGGGGAACTACAAGTCCCATCAGCCCCAGCGCTATATAAGGAAGTACTGAGGTTTGTTTGTCCTCTCACTTCCTTTCCGTGATCGTGTGTTGTGGATGTCGTGTGTGTTGTGGAGGCGGCACACTTAAAGCTTCAAAGGTTAGTAAGTAGAGAGATTAGTTTGCTCTTATTTCTTTTTGCAGCGATTGAGTTGTGTGCATGTCACGACAGATTGAGCCCTTCAGAAGGATAGTAGCAGATAAGCAGCTATGTTAACGTCATGGAGAGCTGAGTACTTGTTGCACACCATTTAGGAGGTAGTAGTTTTATTATTTGATCTAATTGTTTTTAGGATTTTGTTTTAATCATTTTATTGTTCTTTGGTTTTTAGTGTTTTTGCCGGATTATTGCCTGACTGATTGTTGCCTGAGTGCCAGTCAGAAATATCGGATGTTTGAGGTATTGTTTTATTAAAGGGAACTTTTAATAATGTTTTTCCATCTGTGCATAATTTATATTGGGTTTTATTTTGTGTTTTTTGTACATTGTATATAATTCCCTGTTGTAATTAATTGTGTTTTCCCTTACAGGGATGCACGGTTACCGTTTACTTTAGATTGAATTTTCTTTGGTTTATTTATTATTTTGTCTTATGCTGGACCAAGTGGGAAAACCCCAGACCATAAACTAAGTGTGATGGTTCAATGGTGCTGCTGACTTGTTTGTCCTACTGGCATTACCCACGGTTAATCTGTTTTTCTTTCCTTTTTGTAGATTTCTTTTTTCCCAACGATGGCTGCGTGGTTACCCTCACTGTATGGATGGCGGTGGTGAGGTGGCTGGGATCGTGTGGTGTTGGTCACTTTATTTGTATTTTTGCCTTTAGGGATGCAGTGTGATTGCTGTGAGTTTTGCTGTGGTGAGAGCACTTTTCAGGACTACTGCCTTCACGATATAGGTAACCTGTGGCCATCTGTGGGTTGTTGTTTTTGTTTCTTATTTTTTTATTTGTTATTTTGTGGGTATTTGCTTTTAAGGACTTATTTTCTTTAACTGCTGAATTATTTGAATAAAAATGTGCCTATTGATGGAAACTGCACAACCGCCTTGCGCCTGATTATTTACCCCTTGGGTCATGTTACAATAACCTTCAAAGTTGTGATTAAAAAAAGGATTTTTAACCACAGTCTTGAAAAGAATACAGGTTCCAGACTTACACAAGCATAAATATAAATATGCCAATGGACTTCCTCTGATCAATAAACATAAAATAGACACCACATCTTCATTTGTAGCGCTTTTGGTTAAACATTTGTAGCCAAAACCCTTTTTCGGACAGCAGCCATATTGTATTTAGGGAATTTGGGGGTTCCTGATATACACAATCATAAATGGAAGTATTCATAGGGATTTCCCATAGCCAGAAAAGGTAAAATAGGCATCAAGTTTGTATTTGTATCTCATCTGGCTCAAAAGCTATAGTCGAATCCCTTTTAGGCGGCCATATTGGATTTAGAGAATTTGGGGAGTCCTGATATACCCAATCATAAATGTAAGTATTCATATGGGTTTCCCATAGCCAGAAAAGGTAAAATAGACCTCAAGTTTGTATTTGTATCTCATCTGGCTCAAAAGCTATAGTCGAATCCCTTTCAGGTGGCGGCCATATTGGATTTGGCCGCCATCTTGGTCTCAGGGACCATTGGCTTGGGCGCCCTGGCTAAATCATTTCTGTATGCCCTCAGCTACATCTGTGCCAAATTTGGTGCTTGTAGATGAATTTGCGCGAACAATGGGATGTAAGGCCCATTCTACAGCCCAATCTGCTTTTTTGGACAGCGGCCATATTGGAATTGGAGGATCAAGGGGTCCAGATATACTGGGTCATAAATATAAACATTTCTATGTGTTTCCCATGATCAATTAAGCTGAAAAGCATATCAAGTTTGTATTTGTAACTTATGTGGTTCAAAAGTTATAGCCGGAACCCTTTTCGGGCAGCGGCCAAATTGGATTTGGCCGCCATCTTGGCCCCGAGGGCCGCTGGCTCCGGCGCCCTAGCTAAATCATTTCAGTATGACCTGAGATACATCTGTGCCAAATTTGACGCTTTTAGATGAATTTGCGCGAAATTACCTATTTATGTGCTTAAGGCCCCCAACTGAGTTATATTAACTCTTGTAATTGTTATACAACCATTAGAAGTGTGAATGCCTCGTTTACTCTTAAACAAATCGTATTCTCTTAATGCAAAAGATGGCTTGATTGAAATCTGCGTAAAAGGTTTTGTTTTATGATTATAATAATCATAAGGTTTAAACTATGGTCTTTTGTCTCTCTGCTAAGTGCTGGAGACCAGCTCACAGACCATGCATAAATTATGATAAGCAAGAAGTAGATCCACCTCCTAAAATCATGCCATTATCTCATTGGCCAGAAGTTTCTAGGAGGTTGGACTAGAGTTTAAGTTAAAGATCCAAACAAAGGAACAAGACCTCATGTTGTTCTGTTCAGTTTTGTGTTCGTTGTTTGTTTTTGCTCAGTTTCTCGTTCGTTCAGTTTGTAACTGTTAAGTTCGTGCCTCTCTCTAAAACCAGCAAGAGAGTGTTCTGTTCTTGCTTCTCTCTGAAACAAAGAGCGTGTGCGCATGCTTCTACATCGACTAGACCAAATTCGACCAGCAGACGAATAACCCATCAAGATCAGGGTTACAATTCAGCTCATTCAAGCCATCCGACTTGCCTTACTTCCATTTCCTTCCTTTATTTCTTTTTCGTAAAAGTCTTGTTTCAAAGTTAAGTTTGCTGCAAAGCTTCGTTTTAAACGGCTCTCCGCAACGCGCTTCAAAATCGTAAAGACTTTTCATTCGGCTGCTAGTCACACATGACCGGCAAACTCAGGAACTTCCATCCCTGCACTTCAAAGACAACAAACCACGCAACGGACCCGGCCGGGACACCCCCCTCTACGAAGCAGACAAAAGGGAACTCCCAAAGCCACGCATGAACTTGCAAGTAACCCTTCAGACTCTAACTGAACTGGTGCTTTAATGTAAATTGAATAACCTCTCTAAGAAACGAAGGTTTAAATTAACGCTTGGTGGTCCTTTCAGGTCATGTCTTACGTGCATATAGAAAGTTGAAGCTTTCTCTCTCACTCAATTTTCAATTCAAAAAAATTGCTTTATTGGCATGACTGTACATCATACAATATTGCCAAAGCTTGGAATACATAGAATAATTATAAAGACATCAACATAGTAAAATAATATAGCATTTTAAGTTGATTGTACAAATTAACAGTGTAAAATAAATAAAATGGAACAGTTTATGAACATTTTAAAAAATTCTGTGAAGAATTTAGAAAAACAATGCGTATGAGTGTGTGGTGTACAGGGGTGTGTGTGTGTGTTGGCGCATCACTGATTGGTCGTCGACTCTCTCTTTTTGTGACATGCATCAATGTATCTGGGTGCTAGTGTGATACAATCTTTTTTTTCACCTAATAGATGTTGTAATTGTGTTTTGTTATTTAATTGCATGAATTTAGGGTAAAGTATTTCAAATTTTGTGTAAAAAATCCCTCTAATGTCCTCATAGTTGGGGCAGCTGGTGAGGAAGTGTTGCTCGGTCTCCACTTCTCCCTGCTCACAGTACGGGCAGACGCGTCTCTCTCTGAGCCGCCAGTTCTGTCTGTGTCGGCCCGTCTCTACAGTCAGTGTGTGATTGCTCAGTCTGTACCTCGTCATCCTTCTTCTCAGTTTGCAGTCTTTCACTGTACCCAGGTATTCTGCGGTGGTGTAGTCTCTATTTAGGGCCAAATAACATTCAAGTTTACTTTGTTTCTCTGTAGTTTTAGTCCAGTAGGTCAGGTAATTCTCTCGTTGTGCTTGTATGATGTGTTTGGGCCGGATTGTGTGTGTGAGGGTGTGTGTGTCCTGAGGCGGTGTAAGGTTAGTGGTGTCAGTGTGTGTGTGCAGCCGCAGGACCAGCTGAAGGAGCCGGCTCTTCTCAGGGTTCATCTTATGGGTTTTAAGGGCTTTAAAATGATAAGAGTTGGGGTCACTCATCTTTAGATGTTTCCAAAATGTGATGATTCGTTTTTGAACGTGTATTAGCAGAGGGTATTGGCCTAACTCTGCCCTGCATGCATTGTTCGGTGTGTTCCTCTGTACTCCCAGGATACTCTTACAGAACTCAGCATGCAGGGTTTCAATCGGGTTTTTGTCCCATTTGTCAAATTCATGATTTAGGAGAGGACCCCAAACTTCACTGCCATATAATGCGATCGGTTCTATGACTGATTGGAATATTTTGAGCCAGATTCGGATTGGTATTTCAATTTGGATAGATTTTTTGATGGCATAGAAGGCCCTTCTTGCTTTCTCTTTCAGTTCATTCACGGCCAAGTTTAGGTTTCCAGTTGCACTTATGTTCAGCCCAAGGTATGTGTAACTCGTGACATGATCAATTTTGGTCGTACCAAGGGTGAAATTGTGTCTCTTTCCCTGACTTCTGGGTCTTTTCTGAAAAGTTAGTATTTTAGTTTTTGTTGGGTTAATGGTCAGGGCCCAGGTCTGACAGAACTGATGCAGAGTGTCCAGGTTCTGCTGTAGACCCTCTTGTGTTGGAGACAGCAGGACCAGATCATCTGCATACAGCAGGAGCTTTACAGTGGAGTCGTGCAGTGTAAAGCCAGGGGCTGCGGACTCTTCCAGGAATTTCGCCAGTTCATTAATGTAAATATTGAAGAGAGTCGGTGATAGTGGGCAGCCCTGTCTCACACCCCGCCCTTGAGTGAAGAACTCAGTGTGTTTATTGCCAATTTTAATAGCACACTGATTGTTTGAGTACATAGTTTTTATAATGTTGTATGTTTTGCCCCCGATACCTGATTCTAGAAGTTTAGAAAGAAGGCCTTCATGCCAAATCGAATCAAAGGCCTTCTGGAAATCTACAAAGCAAGCAAATATTTGTGTTTTGTTTTGGTTGATGTATTTATCAATCAGGGTATGGAGGGTGAAGATATGGTCTGATGTTCTAAACTTTGGTAAGAATCCGATCTGGCTTTTGCTCAGGACGTTGTGCTCTGTAAGGAAGTGAACGAGTCTCGTGTTGATGATGCTGCAGAACATCTTCCCCAGATTACTGCTCACACAGATGCCCCTGTAATTGTTCGGGTCTGATGTGTCTCCACTCTTGAATATGGGTGTTATAAGTCCTCTATTCCAGCTGTCAGGGAAATGACCAACACTCAGAACCAAGTTGAACAGCTTCGTTATGGCCAATTTGAATTTGGCGTTTATATTTTTAAGCATCTCGTTTAGTATGCCGTCTGGTCCACTTGCCTTTTTTGTTGGCAGAGCCTGAATTTTATCCATCAGCTCTTTTTCTGTGATTGGGTAATCTAGTGGATTTTGGTATCTTCCAATTATGTTTTCAATATGGTTTAATTTTTCAAATATTTGTCTTTGTTTTATATTCATTTCTAGTTTGCTATAAAGTTGTTCAAAGTGATTTTTCCAGGTGTCTCCATCTTTAATAGTAATTTGTTCATGTTTCTTTTTATTCAGAAGATTCCAGTTGTCCCAGAAACTGTTTGAGTGGACAGATTCTTCAATAGTTTTGAGCTGATTTTGGATGTACTGTTCTTTCTTCTTTCTGAGTGTTTTTTTTATATTTTTTTAAGTTCTTCACAATAATGAAGACGTAAATCTGAGTCGTCTGGTTGTCTGTGTTTTTGATTTGCAAGCTGTCTTAAATTTTTCTTTATTCTTTTACAATCCAAATCGAACCATTTTTCATTCTTTTGATTTTGCTTATGATTTTTCTTAGGGGTTTTAAGATGAGATATTATTGCTAGATAATCAAATATGTAATTTATGTTTTCTACAGCCAGATTTACACCATCTTCATTATGAGGATAATCATGTTCTATGAAGTTATCCATAAGTAAGCAGATTTGGGGGTGGTCAAAAGCGGCTAGATATTTTTCAGTGCTGTTTTGAACCCATCTGTAAGTCTTTTGGATGTTGTACAGCTTACTGGGTTGTGGGCATATAATAGTATTTTCTTTCCTTTTTATATACAGAGTAATTTG